CTCTGTAAACCGCTTAGAGAGGGCTGAAAGCCCTATGAAGCGGTGTATAAGTCTAACTGCTATTGCTATTGCTAGTTACACTGCAGACTTCCGATCACAATTGAGCCCATAATCTCTGTCTCTAAGCGAGACCTTGGTGAAGCGAGTTCTGCCCCATTTTTACGACCTTACTTGCCGCTACTGTCGTTCAGCCAACCCCTTCCAGTTGCTCGGTGTTGCTAAGCAAGACATCGGCCCAAGAGGCGAACTGCCATGTTGCCGGCAGGCGGCAGGAGGAGCCTGCAGTACCGCCCTCTAACCACTGCGCCGTTGCGGCTTCCAAAGACTTTAACCGCCTGGAATCCCACCCACTGCTTCCTTCTGCCCATCAAGGAAAAGTCTCCTCTCTCTTGTTTTTAGGGGAGCCTGGCACCTGGCAGGTCAGCCCCGGCGGCCTGCTTGAGATGGACGTAGCGAGGGGAGCGGCGTTCGCCAAGCGCCCGGGAAAAGCCACCGTCTTCCACGAAATCCCAGGGATAGTCAAAACGTACCGAGAGGTAGAAGCGTTTTCTGTGTGTGTGTGTTTTATGAATAAAGATTTCATTTTGTAGAAACAGAGGAACGGATTAAGAGAGTTGGAAGGGACCTCGGGGGGTCATCTAGCCCAACCCTGCACCATTTCTGAAAATGACAGTCCAGTCTCTTCTTGAAGGCTTCCAGGGCTGGAGCTCCCACAGAGTTTTGAGTGCAAGCTGTCCCCCCATTGAATATAGAATAACAGAGTCGGAAGGCACTTTGAGAAATTTTTTTTATTGTTTTAGTTAAACAGAAAAAAAAAAAACCATCTTTCATTACATCTTGTTGAAAGCGTATCGATTGGTTACAAACATATTCCGTGCGTTTCTTCCCTATGCTTCATTCAAATCAGGTTGTACATTTTAAGTCAAGAAAGAATAGTAATGTATTTTACCATCTCTGTACCATTATTCTCATTTAGTTACCATTGTTTAAAGACATTTTTATCTAGAATCATTTATATTAGAAGACACAACCACCTACTGGCGTTCATTTGCAATCTCAATAGATCTACAATAACATTGCACCTTTATAACATATTCTAAAATTAATTCGGTTAAGTAAAGAATTTGGGGGTTTCCCCCCCCCCCCGTAACACACCTGTATGTATCATTAAATATTGTCCATTAACATTTCATTGTTATTAATGCAGTTAACTAAAGGTTATTTACTGTTTATCTCACCTCTCCTCTCCAGGCCCACACGATATTATAACTCTATAGCCGTCTTTAAACAATGATTTTATTAATAAGATTTATAGGACTTTTCCCTCAATCCCAAATTAGTTAATTATGAGTCGGAAGGCACTTTGGAGGTCATCTAGTCCAACCCCCAGGGCCCAAGCAGGAGACCATTTCTGACCGATGGCAGACCGGTGTCTTCTTGAAAGCCTCCAGGGATGAAGCTCCCACAACTTCCGAAGGCAACTTCTGTTTTGTGGGTTGATTCTTAGTGTCAGAAAATCCCTCCTTAAAATTCCTCATTTTAATAGGATATAATTTCCATTTCCGAGTTCGGAAACAGCTTCTGAAGACAAGTTTTGTTTTTTTTAAAAAAAAACATTTTCTCCACCGTCTTCGCTCATCTCCCTTTTCCAGGTTGTCGTTCACGGCCCGTCGAGGCTCAGCCTTCAGCTGGGGCCCAAACACTTCCTCACCAATGCAGCCAACGCCTCTGAATTCCGGGTCTTTATCACCACCAGCGGCCCGGCCACTCTTCAAGGTAGAAGACACCCCCCCCTCCTCTCACCCTTTCAAAATGAAATATTCTAGTGGAGGAGATGGGGGGGGGTGACACCCCCCACCCCCAAAGGGTAAAAAAAACCCGAGCCCAGTCCGACTGTGATTGTAAAGAATATCGGGAAGGGAAAGAAAAGGGAAAAGGGAGTGAGTTAGGGAATAGAGAGAAAATAGAGAGGAGGGAGGGAAGGAGAAAGAGAGAGAAAGAAAGAAAGAGAAAGAAAGAAAGAAAGAAAGAAAGAAAGAAAGAAAGAAAGAAAGAAAGAAAGAAGGGGAGGAAGGAGAGAGGAAGGAAGGGGGAGAGAGAAATAAAGAAAGAAAGGAAAGAAAGAAGAAAAGAAAGAAAGGGAAGAAAGAAAAGAAAAAGAAAGAAAGAAAGAAAGAAAGAAAAGAGAAAAGAAAGAAAGAAAGAAAAAGAAAGTAAGGGGAGGAAGGAGAGAGAGAGGAAGGGAGAGAGAAATAAATAAATAAATAAATAAAAATAAGAAAGAAAGGAAGGAAGGAAAGAAAGAAGAAAAGAAAGAAAGGAAAGAAAGAAAGGAAAGAAAGAAAGAAAGAAAGAAAGAAGGGAAGGGAGAGAGGGAGGAAGGGGGAGAGAGAAATAAAGAAAGAAAGAAATAAGAAAGAAAGAAAGAAAGGAAAGAAAGAAGAAAAGAAAGAAAGGGAAGAAAGAAAAGAAAGAAAGAAAAAGAAAGAACGAAAGAAAAAGAAAGAAAGGGGAGGAAGGAGAGGGAGGAAGGGAGAGAGAAATAAAGAAAGAAAGAAATAAGAAAGAAAGAAAGAAAGGAAAGAAAGAAGAAAAGAAAGAAAGGGAAGAAAGAAAAGAAAGAAAGAAAAAGAAAGAAAGAAAGAAATCCTAAATTGCACACCCTGAATATATCCTGTCTCTTGGTTTAGGTCCTTGTAGTTCTGAGCAAATTCGGGCCATCAACGACCTCCTATCTCCGGAATCCCAGCTGATCTGCCAACTGGATTTCAACCCCAAGATCCTGGATATTCCAGCCAGCAAAATATTTCACATCCGGCCGGCATTTTACCCGGAGAAAGGTGGGCCGAAAGAGAACCGGGGCATCTTGGCTTCCCAGGTGGGGAATTGGGGACATGGCTGCCCTCAACTCCAGTGGCCAGAGGGATGGAGGGAGCTTTTGAAGACCACGTGGGTCTCCCATCTTTCTCAGAGAATATTTAAATGCCGTCTTGTAAACCTGCGGTCACCAACAGGTGATCCACGAGGAAATTTTAAGTGTTCCACAGGGAGATTATTTGCATTTTTTACATTGCACTCAATCAGGGGGTCCTCA